TATATAAATATTGAACCAGCAAGATATTGAAGAAAAAATGCCGTTCAATCCTACATTTTCATATAACTGTAAAAAATGTTAAATCATTTTTAATGCTGTATTGCTTTTGCCCTATGTAGCTCATACTCGGTTAAATTTGTGACAATGTTGATAAAGAAACTTTATTGACTACTAGTGTGAGTTTCATCTTTCACAGTATCATCTTCATTCTGACGTCTGATAGATTTCACATGGCAGGTGTTACGATGACATCGGGCTAAAAGCTGTATAATAAAATCACAATACTTGGTAAAACAGTACTTGCTTGCAGCCATTGTAGGTTTTGTTATAGTTTATGCTGTCGGCATACCATTCAGTCGGGATATCTGACTCTCCTTCCGTTTCTGAGTTTTGAAAGGCTTCTGTTCCACCTACCATCCACAAAAAGGGCATCTTTCTATGCTTTATAAAAGTCATGTGACGCTACCATATCGAGCTACTTTTAAGAACAGAGCGTACTATGTAGTACTACAGTATTCTGATCTCCGTTGTTGTTTTAATGTAGTGGTACATGCCTTATCTCTCATTTCCCTGTGTGTAAAATAGAGCTGTCCAGGGTAAGAAAGGGATGTAGGAAATTTCTATCTTACACCCCATTTCACGTGACGTGACGTCACCATGGCTCAACAATGACGTGACGTCACGAATTTGGAACTCTCCGATGCCGCAATGCGGAAAAGGTGACGTGATGAAACTAAAACCTTTTACGATATATTTATCATACACGTTAGAAAGATGTGATTATTTTTTCTGCGCAAACACTGTTTGCAAATATGTGTTATGCTAAATATGGCTGGCTAATTTACGCCTAAAAACTCATGGGAAACAACTGATATTTTCAAAATGGTGGCCAGTCCAAACGCATATTCATGATTCCTGAGCTTATTCTGGTGGTTGGAATGAGAGAAAAGTACTCTTTCATGCCCAGGGGTGTAGGATAGGGAAATTTCACCCTCGGGTTTCCCAAATTTGAAAATCCCGAGGATGGAATTTCCCTTATAATCCATGATGTGTATAGGGTCAGAATAATATGACTCAGGCATGGCCAGGAGAGATCGAAGCTCGTACATTTGTTTCAATAGTATAGTATATTTTTTGAATCATAACATTACCTATTTTAATACATACAAAAGGTACCGTTTTTTTTATAATATACTTGAATCTGCTGCTGGGCAAAATCATTTATCCTTGTATTTATGTGTGCTCTGTTTTAGAATGATCCACATTCACACTACACTACTATGACGCATCACATGTTAGTTTGAAGTTGACTGGTTTGTACTACAGTACTATATATAGCTAATAGGTCATATTGATAGTAATAGAATCATCATTTGGTTCTTGTTTTATCCAAGACTACCAGTATATACCCCCTCCCTCTACTCGTGTATGTTCATAATAATATGTATTATTATTTTAAAGAAACAAATGCCATTTGAAAACAAAATCATAGAGTAAACATGATAATGTGAGTTGTAGGCAGATTATTTAAACAAATGGTTTGAGCTGATATGCCAATCCATGAAGGGTGTATCTGTTTTTAATTTAAATATGCTTAGCATTTTACACACAGCAGGTTAGAGACTGTCACGTCTCCCACCACTATAGGATGAAATGAAGATTTTAGATTTTTCTTTTTAATCTTTTAGATAATCCATGTGAAATGATGAAATTTAATGTTTGTACTGATTATATACATTAAAAATTCTAGGTATCTACAGCAGGAGATTCCTCCTCTTCATCGTCGCTGTTGTCATAAAGTTTTTGTAGATACCTAGAGATAGATTGGCATATCGGCTAAAACCATTTGTTTGCAAGTGAAGTTTCTGGATGGACACCATCGTATAACTTTGTGTAATTATACTTTGTGATTTGATTATTGTTTTTGCGATTTTGACCATGTTTTCCTCGATGTTTATTTGACACCCTTATTATGTCATTGTCAAATTTAAGGGTAAAAGATTGTGTGTTGTGTTGTATTCAGTGATGATAGTGTTGATGGCATTGATGTCAGTTTCATGATTGACTTGTTGTTCTTGAGTCAATATTGGTGTTAAATGTGGTTGAATAAAAATAATTGCCATCACCAGGTACATCATATATGCCGAATAGTTTTGATTTTGATTAGAAATGATTGCTGACGGTCGCATATTATGCAATCTGTTAACAAAATTAAAGTGATGAAAATACAATATTTCTTATTCTCTTCTGTAGTGATATTCATAAAGCAGAGCAAACTAATGTGTTCACTTCAATAGTCTAATCAAAATGCTGTAATGATTTACACAGTTGAACGGAAGTACAAATTGTCAAGCGTTTAAAGTTTATATTTTATTTATCTAAGTATCAATAAAGAAATTTTACTATGCAAAACTGTACAGATAATGTTTGTCTTTTTTAAGTGATTGTTAATTTGGTCGCACTAGATGAGCAGATCTAGCATTCAAATACCACAGTTTTAGTTGTAAAATCTAAAGGTAATATCACAAATTTGGATCAAATATCAACAGAAACGATCCCCAAATGGAAGAATTTACAAGAACTGAATATAAAATTGACGTTCTACAATAAATGCAGAAAAAACCAAGAGTAGTGATACTGAAATATCGGAAATTTGACCCTTTGAAACACCTTACGTTTTCCTTTGGAAAGCTGTCGGTGACAATGCTGTTTCACTGGAGCAGCCGACCCGTGAACTTTGACCTCGTCAATGAACCAAGCGACCTCGTCATTTACCCTGCTTTGCACATACTCGGGTATTTCCGTCCTATTGGGAATGGCCCTCGTGTGTTACGATCGATTTACAATATTAAGATGGCAAATGTGTATGTTTAGAAAGTTGTCAGTATCAAATTATCTATTTCTTTCCAAAAATTAAGCTAATTTAATCGACGGTTATACAGTTTGTCATCTAATCACATTCTTCCGCACTCTTCGACGCCATTAGTTTGTAACATTCATGTAAGCTTTTTAATGATCATGCAAATAATTTCTTTGTTCGATACAAAAGGAAAGAAATCGTGAAATAAACACGCCCAGTGTATTGAATATTGTCAATATTTTTTTTTAAAAACTCGTTGGTTCGAATACATAATTTTCCTGCTACGTTACATGTCGCTTTATTATTCTATTAGGCATATTTACGGGCTCCATGAACCGGAAGTGGTCACCGGAAGTAAGAAAAGTGTATAGGCTGTATCTGTACGATTCAGTGATGGAATCAGATTAATTTGATCAGATCTATTTACACGCACATGTTACCGGTAAAGGGCTCCGCTCGGGTGACTACGGCTTCGCTCTTATAAGTTTCTGTCAATTACTTCTGGGATATGTTAATTTTCCCTTCATGTTTATTCCATCTTGGGTTGCTGTTTTTCTGTAAGTTTTCTCGACTCCATTAAATTCAAAGATTCTGGTTGGCTTGGTTTTTTTTTTAATCTTAAATAGCCAAGGAGGTTCAATATGATCATATGATCAACATTTTTATACAAAAAGAGGACAGGCAGTGGTACCCCTCCACACTGCATTGTATGTCACATTTGATTCTCTACTTAAAACTCTCCGGTAGAAATTTTAGACTAAGTAATTTACTGGTGGACTAGATCTATCTATTACGAAATAAATAATATTAATGATACTAAGATGAAGCTGCAGTATCGGGTAACTAAGTACTTGTTACGTCCTGAAGGAATGGCAGGCTGCATTCTTCTCAATGAAATGTTGCGTGAACAACAGCGAAATTTGAATCGCTATTTTATATTTTTTATCTACAACAAAATTATTAGGCCATTAAAACTCTGCTTTTGGCTTTTGTCCTTGTTTTCTTTTTCTAGAAAAAAGTGTATTTCTACAGAACAAAGCATTATTAGTGTCTTAAAATATTTCTGGGTTTCTTTGAGCAAATGGTAAGGAGGACGTCGGACTGTGTCTTTTTGTCCAGAGCACTAATAAAACTTAAACTGTGTGACACTTACGATGCATCTTTTCTCTTTACTCAACCCTTTCTTTTTGAAACAATCAGAAAAAACGGCACATTTTACGAGAATGAATGCTGATATATTTACTGTGTATGGCACAAGATGCAATGATTTCAAACTGAGCAATATCATCGGTAGCAACATCATTTCCTGGTTTGGCGCCATTGTTGCTGTAAGTGTAGTGTTAAAGAAGTACATCTTTTCGCGTAGTGTAAAATATTTACGAATGTTGATATTTTATCAACTAAAACAAAGTATGATCGTGTTGTCAGGTAGTTTTTCAATCCAATTTCATGTATTGTTGCCTTATGCGAAAAGATGTTAGTGCGATTTTAATAAAACATATTCAAAGGTCTGTATTTGTATATTAACAAATAAACCAGTAGTAATTGGATCATTTATACATTCGACATTTTCGTTTCTAGTAGCAGGTACAAATGATAAGAATGATATTTTTACTAGATGATGATATTTTTATATGTTTTTTTTTAGTTATGCCTGCTCATTTCATTATTTCCGGTTTTTTAATATTCTTTTCATAATCTTAATGTGAAAACCTGTAATGTTTTCCGGTAACAGGACTAGTAAACTTGTGCGAACAATACACCGGATATAGTGACAGGAAAAACCGGAAATAAATTTCGGTTACATGGTTTTGATTGTTTTCGATCGTTAGTGATCCTCAACAACCAGGAAAATATCTTCAGTTGGGTTTTCCCGCAGATGAAAATCAATTCTTCCTCTTGATATTAGTCCTTTTAATGGATTTAAGTTATTGCACATTAGAATATTATTTTATTTATTAAAATACCGGACTTGACGAAAAATTCTTGATGCAAATGAATGTAAATCCATAGCTTTAAATACAGGAAAATAGTGTAGAAATCCCATCTTGTATTAATCATTAATGTACGATACATAAATCAAAAACGCACATTGTATCTGTTTTTCTGAATTCAATTTAACAAGATTTGAAATGCGAAAGATTAATTTATTATTTCAAAAAATATACATGTAGTACTATAACTTAGTAACAGATCAAAATAACATTAAATATAATGGAAAAAATGGTCATGAGCAGATGAATGTAAATATGTACAAGATTTTGTTGTTCTAGCGCATATATCAATGCGCAGTTTCCACTTCCTCCTCACCAGTCCTCTAACGTAAGATAATGGGAACATTCTTTTAATTCTCTCATTAAAGCTATTTAGGTCACTTTCCCGAAAGCTTAATAACGCGAGTCTTGAGCTCTCTGATTCTCGGCTTGTTTTGCCAAACTACATAAATCAACCATGAGAAGAGAGTGATTTAAAAAGAAAATTTTCAGAAACACCACATTGTGATAAAAGAAATTGATTTTGCTCCCTGTTTTTTCCATTCATTTATGTAAAACTCAAGCCGCTTGTTACATAAAACTGTGTCTAACAGTTGATCGGAACACCTCTAATCCTTTCTAATTAAGCACATTGTCATTCATTTTTGCATTTGATATTGATATATTCACTATTCAAGCCTTCCTTCTGTATAAGCAACACTACGCAGATTATTACTAGAAATATAATTTTACAAATGCCTTTCTGTCTAAAATATGCATTTGAGTAAAAATAGAATATTCGCGGGTCGGAGATCACAGATATCAGTCACATGTCCTGGCTAAGCCTGCGCGCGCACAATGTTCCTATTGACGTCATCATCCTTGCCGGCATATTGAACAGGCACATTTTTTTGCTGATTTAAATACCACTTCTCTAATTCCGTCGATACAGCGTACATGTACTGTTATCTGCAAATAAAAAACAGATTCTTAGATTTATCACATAATGGTTAGAGTTGTTGGTTAAAAAGAAGACTGTAACCAAGATAATGTGTATTTGAGTCTTAATAAGGAATAATCACTTAAAAAAACAAAAATACAAGAGTGTGAATAAAACCGCAATTCGAACATAAACAAGATATAAAGTTATGGCAGAATATAAACAAAGGAAAGATTTACATGGAAAAACTTTAAATGAAAACACAATGAAAATAAGACCAAGCGTTCCGGCAGATTAAGCGTTTTCTGTTTCACACGCCACACGCGAACAAAATGTTGTTCAAATTTAAGTAATATTACGTCTTCATATCGACAACGAAACAAAAATGCACTCTAATGGAAGTAATGAAAAACATCACTCAAAGAAACAGCAGACTTCTTAATGAGATCATATTATACAACAACTGCAACAACAATAAATAAGAATATGGATGTATGGTCATAAAACTCACATTTCAAACCAATTACCCGTTCACCAAACTTTGTGTATACCATTTTTGCCTATTCGTTAGTTGAATGTATTTATGCATTTAATCTATTAAACGACGGGATATACTGCTAAATTAAAGTGCATCTGAATAAATTGTTGATCTCAGATCACGATTTAAATGTAAAAAAAACTGATATTTCGCTCGAAAGCTATGTCCTTTGATTCGGCAACGAAATTTACATTCATAAGTCATATCGAAATGTATCGTTTAAAAACGAGTGACATACATATATCTCTCAGTTTAATCTGTCTCCGCGTGTTCATTGAAGTAAAAGTAATATATTTTAAGACTTCTTTATTCGTATTGATTTTGTTTTTGTGAATAGATAAATCCCAGCTGTAAAATAAAACTATTTCATTGTGTAAGACGAAGGAGCAATTACTATCTCGAGACCCACGATCGGGGACTACGTATCGCTCTGACAACTATGTAAGGTAATGATGCTAGACCAATTCAAACTTAGAAACACATTTTATATCATGCTATTGATTTTTCGTACATTGCCAGGTAGATGTTTTATAGCTAGCCATTCATAGATGAAACAGATTCCCTTGGTAATAATTGACAGTAAGTGAATTTCTGCGGTGATCTAGTGCCGTTTTTAATTCCTACATAGCGGATATCCTTGGCGACCTCTGGTCAGTAACGACGGTTAATGGAAAGTCATCTCACACCAACGGCCTTCCAACTTCCGTAGATGCTCTGAGCCGCACCTTACAGTGCGCTGTTGTATTATGGAAATAACTTATATTAGACATGAAGCTTTCCAAATGTTGTCTCAAATTTCCGGCCGAACATCATCTAACAAGGTCTTGACTGGCGGCGTAAACAAAGGTCAAATGAATCATGAATGAGTGCCCCTCAATTCCAATACATAAGGAAAGTCATCAACCTCTTTTCCTCTTATCATATGCTTAATATAGATTTATATTTAATCTAGGTTAGAAAAACTTATTTAAGTCGAAGTAATACGATACGTTTTGAATGAAAACTGCTGTTTAAGTCTGTCTTCCTGTTTCGTGCTTCGTAACGACATCCGTGGTACGATAAATGGTGTTTTTATTCCTGTTTGGCACGTAGTGAGGGTAGTAGTGGTTGGTACAAAAGTGGAAAAGAGTAAAGCCCTTACTCGTTATAATATTAACCGCTGTTTTACTTCGTTTGGTGTTTCCTGCTATTGCTGCTTCAATGTGAAAATTGAAAACTTAATGCAGAAATGATGTATTTATGATGATGATAACTCTGGCAAATTTTGACACGTTTTATAACATCTTCTGCAATAATAATCGTGATTCTTTTTATAGATAAATTCAGCAATTAGGATTAATCGGATCAGTTTAAAGAGTGTCGTAAATTGTCTAGAACAAATCAGAACAGCCTACTTACTACAATACAGCCATTGTAGTTTATATTTAGATGGCTTCGCGAGCCACTCCTACCATGTACAAGTGGTCTCCCCGAGGTTTATTAGGAAGACTTTCAACACGAATTTTTACTAACACGTGTGGTTTTGGATCAAAATAATGACGGGGAATGTACTTTATATAAGAAAATAGACTCATTTAGGACATTCCTGTGGCCCAAACACGTGCGTATCTGTTATAGAACTATTAGCTAGATCATCCGAAAGTGCTTACATTATCTATCTAGGGTGATGGTATCTTTTCTCTTAGGAGTTTACTCGGTGTCCCTCTTTCGTGTAGAAGATATATGTATGTCCTTGTTTCTCCATTCTTGTTAAGAATATATTTACTTTTTTATTTTTGAGATATTTTTATTCATGATTTTATGTTTTATTAAACAACGATTTTACTTCGCTGGTGTAAAGAAACAATATTTGCTTAAGGGCTGTACCTTTTTACTTCCATGTGATCTTTCAGTATTTGCTTTGTATGTTCATATCAGTCACCCCTTTCGATAATGCAATGGGATAAATAAGGTCAATTTAATTTTTGTTGAATAAGACAATTTAAATTGTGAAAAAAGAGTAGGGAAAGATAGAATATTTTTGAATGACTAAAGACCCTTTTATTCCAGCCAAAGATGGTTACATCCAGATTAATGGACAATGATAAAAATGTCATCTTCAAAACAATAAAGGGATTTAAAATGAAACCTGTACAACCCTAGCAACATTTTGCCTAGATAAAACAAGATCCCAGAATCAATAGCCCTTTTTGCTTTTGTATTTATTTATCTAATTTTATTTTATTTTATTTTTATAATAAAAATGGAATTATATTATTTTGTTCGATGACTTGATATCAATAAAGGTTTTATTGTAGTTCTATTCATATTTATAAAGAGATCAACAAATGAAACAAGACTGTTATTATAGTTTAGTTGACATAATAGGGGGATTTTTTTAACCTACGTAAATAAGAAAAGAAAAACAGAAACTGAAGGGACACCGAAACCAAAGGAAAAGCAACATGAATTATTTTTTCAACTGCGAGACCAAGGTTTTACTCACATCGTAAGTTTCTTCTATACTGCAGCACTCTGATCGAGAGGTGATGATATGGCTAGGATTTCGAAGACGTGTCCTCGCCGAGGACGGAATAGCGTACGATACACAGAATCCTCTACATGCGTTTGTCGTTACGTTAAACTGTAGACAGTCCGGTATTCGCACTGTTCTGTCGTCAGCTGTAATGATACAAAAATAAAAAATTAAAGCAAGATGACAGCTTACATGTCTATATTAATTATAGTACCATCTTAATATAACGGTAGAATAAATAAAACGACAACAGAATACCGTTGTGATAACAAAATCATCATCATAATTCACAATCGGTTAAACATTAAACTAAGGCAAAATATAAACAAAAGTATAAGCCTTTTCTGCTTCATCGACCAACCATGTAAATCTAGGTCAAGTCTTAGTAATGCAACGCCCTGATATCGAGAACTTGTGAAGTAACAACAAAACCACTAAGGACCATGAAACAACATATTTCCAAATGAGTCATGATGGAGCTTTGAAACTCGAATTATTGATTAGTTGTTGCATTTCTGGTATTTGACGATTTTTTGCACAGACACTTGATATCTCTAGTATTCAATTACTACAACCTGTGGTCATAAACCAAGTAGTGCAATTTCAACATGACTTGTTGAAATTTTACTTTTTGTAGTGTTTCTGTAACTCAGGATTTAGCATAATAAGAGATGGATACCTGTACTTGTCATATTTCTTTTACCGCTAGTTTTGAAACTGATATCGAAGGCAGAGCATAATGAACATTTAATATCATTTCATTTATTTTATTATAGCATTGTCAGCGGTTTCCGTTAGACAAGTTACATGGTATGATTGCCAAAGGACGCGTTTACTTGCATAAAGCAATTTTCTCTTTGCCTATGTCATTATGATTCAAGTTTAAGATAAGCTAAGTGAACAGATCTCTATTCCGTTCTTTTATTTTATAACATTATCAAAAGTCCAAAAAGAAAGTGTCAGAACAAATCTATATCAATAGCGCAAGGACACTACAAAAAGTATCTAGTAACTCATCAAAGAGCGTTGCTATATCAACGGAAAGATTTTGTCAGAAATATTAAGAGGGGCTTAGCGAAAAGCAGAATCGCTATCATACGTTATAATAGTATGCCTCACGATGTGATTGCACTTTCATGAAGCCTTATTCACGGTGACATCTCTTTCACACTTTGCTTAGATGTACATATAGACTACAAAATCGAATTGCATACCATTGTCAATACCATTGTCAGCCTTGAAACCAAATATATGTCGGCACATGTGAACACAGTGCCGATTAAGATTTTAATATTTAGATGTACATTATATGCAGTCCCATGCATATCTATAGGTTTCTATGTTACATGTAGAATGGCTGAAGCACATGAAATACAGTTGTCCTTACTTTCTATTGTGTGTTATTTTCTGCAAGAGATGGGTGTATTGATTTGTCATGTGTCTAGTAGGATTGGTAAAAACAGATTGATTTCATCGTCCTGTCACAAAAAAAACCCTATAATAGCCATGTTTCATATTTTCGGGAAATGAAATCCAAAACACAAACGATGGATTGCAAAAGTGATTTCTATGCAAAGGTCTCCGAAGTCAGATAATAAAAATTTCCGATGCAGTTGTCGTGAATTCATCAGCATGCAATTATATTGTAACGTTACATGAACTGACATTTCGCATGTATTGATGATGAACAATGACACATATATCTGCATGGAATGCCGTAGAAGGCGTTACTTTATTGAGCAAACAAGCACAAGTTGTAATATGTTGACGTTGTAGTTGGTGTGACTCTTTACACAACAGGTTTTATCTGTGACGTCAGTTCTCCCTCGGATATTGCAATTTCTTGTTCTACCCATTCCCTTCATTTATCATGATCAGAAATCAAGAAATCAACATCTGATATAATATATATGAATGTTGAAGTAATCTAGAGTGTATCTGCTGACGTGTGAGTCTCAAGAGAGTAACCGAATGTTAAGAATGACGTCATTGGTAATATTTTCAAAACCGACTTAAATTCATTTGAAAAAAGTAACAGAAATGAATGTCGTATTCACCTTTAATCAATGATAAGTCGACACATCATTCTACAGGAGAGAATATCCGGCATTCCGATTTCCCTGATAATGACAATCTGACATTAATCCTAGTTAAATCAGAGAATTAGTGTTCGATATGATAGGAAATTGACACGTCTAGCTTCCCCACCTCTATAGTGACAGATCAGAATGATATTTAGTACTTGGTGTGATACGTCCATCTTCACATCGCCTGATACCCTGATTAAATGTGGCTAAATCTTTGAATTACAGGACGAAACCATCTTAGTCATATGTGATAATCCAGCAACGCTATAAAACTATATTGATTTTTAATGATAATTTGTCCGCCGATGACCTATTCTATTAAAATTAATTCAGGCAAACTTTGATTTGATTTAAAGGTTATACTTTTATCTGATGAATTCATATATTCATGAATTCAAATTAAAATTCTATCAAATATGGATTGGTTTTGAACATCGATACATTAAAATGTTACTAAATACAAATACGACAATGTACAATAGGATTTGATGAAAAACAGAGAAAGTATCTGACCTTTTGACCTACGGTCACGTGATATATCATTCAATAGCGTCAGCATTATTGTAACATACTGCCATCGAGCCATATGTTAAATGCAATTGGCACGAATTGGATGTAATGAAAGGCTCTCCTAAAACCCTAGCTTTCTGTCTCGAGGGAATCTAATTTTAACAGACAACTCCCGGGAGGATGTAATTGAAATCTACCACACGCCTAGGGCTTTGCACATTGACCTGGTGCCGTTTAGTTATATTGACAATATGTCTTCACTCCGGTTTTTGAGGAGACAAGGTCTCTGAACGGAAGTGCATCCGTCACGATAGTTAATCTTTTAGTTATTCTAATTCTCGAATATATTCAGTTCACTCTTAGTATGAAATTGCTTGCACTAATATATATTTTCAACGAAACAGTCTACTACTTCGGTATTTTCATAATAAAATAAATGGGGTTTTTTCTCTCCTTAATTTTTTTTTTTTAACCCATGAGGTCATGATGACGTTAATGCTAATATGCATTCTACATATTTATTCATCCATTCCGACAGGAATTACACCTTACATTACTGTATCCCTTCTAGTGCGTTTCAGATAAAGCACATTGACAGTAGCATATTATGATAAATAGCTATTCATAAAATAGCTTTCAGAAATAATTTTCGAAATCTTAAACCACAGTAGCCGCCTTAAATCCCACAGACACGACAACTCCTAGGCAATTATTTTCCATTTCATCAAGATTTGTTAACCTCAGTAGATCCCTTTAACACTGAATGAAAAATTGCAGATTATTAACGAACATCTATGAGCAGTTATAGAAATCATGAAGCATTGCAAAACACATCTATAACAAGTAGTTCATCTATGTTAGGTCATATTCCATCTTTGAAATGGTGCTTCGCCGTCTTCAAATCAGACTTTGACGATATTCAAAAGAAATCAATGATTTAGAGAAAATGTACTTAATAACATTACTCTTTGAACAAATCCGTGACTTTATCAAATTAACCTTTTGGAGAAGTAAAAGTAATGACTTAACATGTTGACTGAAAAGAGCGGTCTATTGGGTTAAGTCTAAAAGAATTCATACTCTCGGTAGGGCTGAGGGGAAAATGATCCAATATATCTCAATACAGGACCGTATGAGGTTACTTTTTTTTAAGCCTACATCTTCAAAAGAGTTAAGGGCATTGGAAAGACAATTGATCTGTAGCACTCCATGTAATGAATACGTTGTGAATATATCTTCCTAGATTAACTGTACAATGGTTTTATTTATAATAACATTTCAACCATGCATATTCCTTTCTCTATTGCATTGCCCTCATGAAATACAAAGATATTCAGGTTGTCAGTTCTTCTGGACGGGGGCGCGAAGTTACTTAATGCTTTTTTTAACGTTTTAAAACCAAACTAAACTCAATATTAAAGACTCTATGTAGATATATCTGAACAAAGTCAGTACAACGGGGGAACATTTAAAAACGCAAACGATCTATCTGTTAATGGTAGAATTCTGGTTTCATTTAGATTGGGGAAAATTAATAGAACAAACTTGGTAGCCCGTTATCACAGCATGTTACTGGCCAAATATCATCACCCTAGGCCTCTTGGTTATCCAGAAGAAGTTGTTTACTAATCCTCAGACTTCGCAAATATTTGCAACAATAAATATCATAATTAAGCGTGCATATATCGAAATATAACCTATTGTTACTGAGTTGTAGGTTACACCTCGTCGTTATCACGAGATCCTAACAGCTTGACCGATTGACATTGTGTCACATCGGTTAAATGGCTGTCATCAATGACCATGAGAAAACCAAAACATGGATATGTTTTGTCATTACCCATGATCTGTGCTATTAATCGTGTCAGTTTCAAGGTGAGTGAATCCAGTTAGGTAGAGTCTTTAGCATCGGCCTTTCTTCATTTATTATTTCAGAGATAATATACTGGTCACAAAAAGGAGTTCTTAGAAGATTAATAGTAACAATCGAAAATTAACAGAATGGGATAGGTTATACTTCAACTTAGTTTCTATTTAAGTCAACATAATATTCCTGGTCCTATGTTTGTGTTTGGTACTACAAATAGGAAGTATTGATTAATTCTGAAACTATTTTAAGGATTTTTGTACACATTTTGTGGCGACATATATATTTTATTCGTGGGAAATAAGACAATGGATGTATTTGAATATCAATTAAATGTCAAGGAACAAACATCATAGACGTCCACCACACTTCATCTAGAATAAAAAATATCTAATCGACTTAAAAAGCAAGACTTCGTTTTAACGTCTGGGTTTATGTTTTGGAGATACAGTTCCTATTGTATACGTCCAAGTTGTACTTCTACTTCATTAATGGTATACTAAGTATGTTAGTATCGCTATTATAAGATGAACTTTAAATCTCATTATATGAACTACAAACCGGAGTAATTACTAACGCCAACAATAACAAAGGGATTATAAAATGATGGCAGCGCCAATATTAGGAATAAAACAAAGGGCAAACAACGGGCGCATCCATCAAATTCTGACAAGACAGCAGG